CCCCAGGAGACATGTTCCGGATCCTCCTGCGATACGGGGCGTGACCTGGGGGGGGGGTGCAGGGGGTGAGGGGGCCAGTCACGTTGCGATCCGCGCCGTCGCCTTCTGGGAGTGCCTAGGAAGGCTGATTCCCGCACGGTGCCGGCGCAAGTCGTGACATGACCAGGGGGGAGGGGAGGGGCCAGGCACGGGCGTTGTATCGCAAATAGTATGCAGCAGGCGCCAGTCCCCTCGCTCCCCAAAAGTCAGCCCGTGAGTCTCTCCCGGGTGGCCATTTTGACTCGGGGTGGGCCCCGCCGTGGCGACGACGGTGCCCCAAGAGGCCCAAAACGGAGTGGAGTTGCAGTTTTTTTCATTCGAACGCATAACAGGCGTTATGTGGCCTCTAGCCCACCCACCAGCCCAGTAGATAACAAATCGCCCGCCGCCCCACGCATCCCCGTTGCAGCAGTGCCTGTTGCTTAGCGCACAGGTGCGCTCTTCGTGATGCGCGCGCAACGTGTTTGCAGTGTGCGTAAGTAGGCATGTGCTCGTGGTATGTAGAGGCGCGTGGCGCGCGTTGGCTGTTGTTGCACCCACAGGCGCGGCGGCGCACTCAGCATTGGAAGAAGAAGAAGAAGAAACAGTTCGATGTGCATAGCCCACACGCTGGCTGCGGCGGCAGTCGTGGTGCGCACAGGCGTGGAAGTGTTTAGCATTGTAGTATACACAGATATTGTTGTGCGCGCAGGCTGCGGTGGTAGGGGCCGTGCCCGCGGCCACAAAAAACAATAAGCACAAACAAATGCATATTGAATTTGATACGTTCGGGCTGGCCATGGTTGATTGTAATTTGATACCGTCGGGCACCTAGAGGTGTACACGGGCTTGGTGGTGTACGCAGGCGCTGTGATGTACATGCTGGCGGCGTGCACAGGCACAGGGGCGCATTCGTGCCGACGTGAGTGGCGTGGGTTACCAAGTAAAACCCTATACATGTGAACACCCCTCTCAGATTCGCCCCCCCCCCCCCCACCCCACCCAGTGCAACGCCCGATCAAGAAAATTGCGTTTTTTTTGCCAAATGTTGACGCCGACAGAGCTGGGCATTGGGTGGTCCAGACGAAGGCTGCGCAAACAGGCGGCCGCGTGTCTCTCCAGCGCTCGGTCCTCATACTTCGTGCGGCCAGGCGCGCCGGCTACCCGCATGTGCTTCCAGCGAGCCGTCTTGTCCTCTCCGAGGAATCTTCCTGCCATGTTGTCTGAGTTAGTTCAGGGGTGCATGGTGAGGCATAACCTTGCAATTTCACGACATTCGGCGCGTGCGATCACCCATGTGCCAGCGCGGGCCTTTGAACTGAGCGAGTGTGTGTGTGTGTGTGTGTGTGTGTGTGTGTGCGAGAGAAGCGTTTTTTGGCTCAAGCAGCTTTCATTGCTCAAGTGTTCGGTGACTGTGGTAGGAGGACGAGGAGGAGGAGGAAGGAAGAGGAGGAGGAGGAGAAGGAGGACGAAGACGAATAATAAGAGGAGGAAGGGGAAGGAGGGGAAGAAGGAGGAGTTGGGAGGACTTGGGAGTTGGGAGGAGGAGAAGGAGGGGGAGGAGGAGGAGGAGGAGGAGGAGCAGGAGGAGGAGGAGGAGGAGGAGGAGGAGCAGTTGCAGTTGCAGTTGCAGTTGGAGTTGTTGGAGTTGGAGGGGGATGAGGAGGAGGAAGAGGAGGGGGAGGAAGATGATGATGATGATGATGATGAGGAGGAGGAGGAAAAGGAGGGGGAGGAGCAGGAGGAGAAGGAGGAGGTGGAGCAGGATGAGGAGGAGGAGGAGGAGGAGGAGGAGAAGGAGGAGGAGCACGATCACGAGCACAAGCACGACGAGGAGGACGATCATGACGACAGGCAGATGCGGGGGGCAATGCGGGGAAGGGAGGGAGTGAGCCTCTTGGGCCCCTTTTTGGGCGCGCTCTGGGGTCTTATTTTGGACCTTGGGGGTTTCATTGGCGCCTCTTGGGTTTTCCTGGGGGCGTCTTCGGGCGGAAGGCTCGAACTGTCAGTTGGTGCTCCCCCTCTTAGGAGCCCCTTGGGCAGTTTTGGGCGTTTTTTCGGCCGTCTGGGGGTTGTTTAGAGCCGCGAGTGAGCTTTTTCGGGGGCCTCTTGGGCCAGGGCCTTCTCGGACGAAGCCGCGGTCAAATTGAACTCGAGACGCTAAGGGTTCCCCACTGGAGGAGTCTTCGTCGCCGCGGCCGCGCGAAGCTCGAGAAACTTGCCAAAATGGTATCCATGCGGCCAAAAACAGAACGCAAACATCACAAAACACGTACGTATTCAATTTGATACGTTCGCGCCCGCCCCCACGAAAACGAGATTCGATTTATGGAGTTCGTCGGAGTCCTCGAAGTGTACACGGGCTCCATGGTGTGCATGTACATTGTGGTACGCAGAGGCACCAGTCGCCGCGCTGCGCGCTGCTGCTGTGGTGTGAGCGCGGATCGTGCTATTCACAGGCGTTGTGGCGCACGCGGAACGTGCTTGTGTGGCCGAAGCTGCGTTGTGCAAAGGCGTTGTGGTGTACGCGTCCACAGTTGTGTGCGCAGGCGTTGTGGTGCACAGGAGCAGTGTCATGCACCCATGCGTTGCGGTATACACAGGCGATGTGGTGCATGCGCATGTTTCTGCACCACCATGTACGGTGCGAGCGGGCATTGCGGTGTCAACGCGCCTTGTGGCGATCGCAGCTGCTAGGCTCTTTCGTTACTTCGGCACCAACAAAAGCAACTGGGGCGGTGCTTTCAGACAAAAACATTCGAGCGGCTGGGCACAATTGCGTCATGTTATGTTCCAGCGAACCCACCCACTCACCCACCCAACCCACCCACCCAACCACATAACGCGCGTTATGTGGTTTCTAAAAACACGGGGACTTGTGAAGACATTCCGCAACCATGATCCTCGATCATTGAGGTGCCGCCCACCCCCCGAGGTACAGCAAGGCCGCCTACATGGATGTCGCGATCACGACCTCGAATTTCTGCACCGCCGCAGGGCGAGCGCAGGAGGTTCTCTGGGAGGAGCCAGGGCAGCCAGAAGCCTGCAGTGCTGGCGGAAGGTGGGGGAGGGCAGACCAGCCTCGAGGGGGACTACGGTCCTCGCTCCCTCGGGGGACCCATCGGCGTCGACACCGCTCTCGAGAGATCGTCGACACAGTTGGTTCCCCCCAGTGGGGGTCAGGAACACAGACCTCTCCTCTTGTCGCCCTCCCTTCTCCCTTCCTCGCTCTCTCCTCCTCCCTCGATGCCTCGATGATGCCTCGATGATGCGGGCAGGTCTGTCCGTCCCGAGGACTGGAGCTCTGTTCTCCTTTCTTCCCTCCCTCCCTCCCTCCCTTCCTCCGGGGGAGGGGGCAGGATGGAGGAGGAGGAGGAGGAGGAGGAGGAGGAGGAGGAGGAGGAGGAGCAGAAGGAGGAGGAAGGGGAGGAGGAGGAGAAGGAGGAGGATCGATAGCCACTGGTTAAAGCAGCAATGCGACGGCGGATGAGGACGAGGACATTTGGATGTGTCCTCGGAGGGGTTCGGTGAGTCTTGGAGGGCTCTGGGGTCCTCGAGGTGTCTTCAGCAGCTGCGCCCCGTCGACGGTCCTCTGGGGGATCACCCCAAGTGCCCCGGTAGCTTGAGTCAGGGCCCAAAGCCCGACTCAAGCTACCATTGAGGGGGAGGAGGAGGGGGAGGAGGAGGAGGAGGGGGAGGAGGAGAAGGGGGAGGACAAGCTAGGTGCGCTCGCGTCATATCTGACATCCTACCCGTCCCTCCCATCCCTTACCATGGCGCAGATCCCCTCTCTACTCGCACAGTCGGATGTCGAGCAGGGCAATGATCCCGAAAGGGTACGCGATTCATTGTAGAGCACGGCATGGCATGGCGTAGAAGAGCACCGCAAAGCATAGTATCAACCTAACATTGCATTGCACGCCGTGGCATGGCACGGGAAATGACGCCAGCGCTGCAGCGGGAGCACGAGTCGAAACGAGCGGAAGCGCGGAAATGAGGCCAGCGCTGCAGCGGGAGCACGATTCGGAACGAGCGGAAGCACGGAAATGAGGCCAGCGCTGCAGTGGGAGCACGATTCGGAACGAGCGGGGCCCGAAAATGAGGCCGGCGCCTCAGCGAGAGCATCATTTTGAAAAAAATGCAGGCGAAAACCCAACTCCGGGGAAACCTGTGTGTAAAAAACAATACGCAGGGGGGGTCGGACATTTTCAGGCCGCCTTCGGGGGAAGAGGGAGAGTAGTATTCATATTGAGTAATTGGAGGAGGGGGAGGAGGAGGAGGAGGAGCAGGAGGAGGAGGAGGAGGAGGAGGAGGACGAGGAGGAGCAGGGGGCAGCAGTGATTGGTTTTTGGCCCCCCCGCCGAGCACTCGCCGCCACGGCTGGGTCCGCCGCGAGAGCCTGGTCAGGACGGGCTCCAAGGTAGGTCCGGGAGAGGACGTTGCTCCATGCGTCGCGAGTGAGCCGCGACGCGGTTTATCTCACGATTGCGGCGCTGGAGGCTCCGGGACATCACGGCGTTGGAGGTCTGGGGCTGGTGTTTTGGCCCCTCGAGGGCCAGGGGTCCACTCGAAGCAGGCAGGCGTGCCCTTGCCATGCTTGATCGGGGGCGGCCAAGAGGGGGGTGACGACCGGGGGGGAGGGGGGTTCGTGGCAGGGGCCATGATATCTCTCCAGATTTCATGGCGCCTCTTCTGATTTCAAGGCGTCACCGCCCCCCCTCCTTGGGCCGCGCACATGCCGCTGGCCTTGATTTGCGCTCCCCCCTCTTCGACGCCCCCCTCTTGGCGACCACGATGAGAGCAGCAGCCGGTCGCACGTCGACTCAGCCGTGTTTGGTTGTTTGTTCTGCCTCGCCAGGTGCTGGGCTCACGTGCCTCAAGGCCGTCTGGTGACAGGGTGGCCCGATGACATCGAAAGCCCGTAGATGTCACAAGATGCTGCACGCACATGCGCCGTCACAGCTTCGGGATGACGTCCACTT